GATTTTTGTGAAATCTGTTGCAATTATTGTCACCCATCGCTCCTTTTTTTCTAATCATTAAGAATCTTTTGGTCAGTATTTTTTTTTTAAATCGAGCAAATCAACTTCTGATTTTGATTGTTAACATAATATGTTCTTCGGAATATGTAGATTTTTTTTTTTTTTAAAGAGAAGAAAAAAAAGGTTCAAAATGTTGAAAACCCGACGGACAAGTTGTACGTCATAATTAAGATATAATATACAGCGAGATGGTATCAGACATCGCGGTAGAATCAAGCGCTCGTCAAAGTAATTGACTTGAACAAATCGCCATTTTTCCGCCTTTTGAGCAATTTCTGTTGAATTTTTTTTTAAGCTCAACATTTTTTATGTGTATGATCTTCACTTTCAGACGCAGAAGACACCAGTTCCATTCCCAATGGGGGGCGGGGGAGAGTGTTACTCATCAAAGAGGCTCACTTCCTAATTAACCTCCATTTTGGTTTTTTGTTGTTCGTTTTGTTTTGGTTTTGGTTGTTGGTTGTTTTTTTAATCAAAATAAAAAAAGAAGCGCATCAACACAATAACGGTCATTTAGTGCTAGGAAAGGGAAGACTGACAGACAGCAAAAACCCTTCTCTCCGCTTTTTTCCTACACGGCATATGCAATTAGGCTGGGTCGAAGCAGCCAGCCTCTTAAATGACCTAAATGAAGTACAGTTGCACCTGCTCTAACGGACACCTGCCTAAGACAATCACCTGCACAAACGACCACTTCCCATGTCCGCCCTTGCGGTTAAAATTAAAAAAAAACCCAACAAAACAAACATAATGGTCCTGCGCTCATATGACCTAATGCAGTTGCAAGCGCCGTAAAACACTTACCAAAAAGAAAAAAAAACCCATGCGTTTTTATGTTATGCGACTCTTCTCCATTCGGGTGACCGTCTGGCTTGAACAGTTTCAACTCAATGTCAAACATCTTCACTAACTTTTCTGTTCTTTTTGTCTCCCCCTTAAGAAAGGCGTCGGAGAAGGACGCAAGACCTTTCTACCACGTGCCGGACTCGGAGATCTACGTCTACTCTGTCTTCTACGAGACCTTCAAGCCAGAGATGGGAAGCCCGGGCGTGCGAGCTATAGGGGTGGGGCCTCGGAAGGGCAACTACTCTAAAGTTTTCTGTCACGTGGTCTCAGAAGACGAGACCAAAAAGCGTTTTGATGGAAGGCTCTTCGCCCTCAATTCTTACCCGTATCATAAGTGAGTCGATGAAAGTGTACTGATGCCACCTTCCTTGTCACTCCC